ATGATTAGAGGAGTGGCATATTAGATCACTGAAATCCTCATTTCGTCGATTGATTGTCGCGCAGCTCAAGGAAGACGTATTCGGAGATTCTGGAAATCCGGAATAAAGGTGACGGAGTATAGAGGATGAAGGATAAATCGAGTACGTTGTTAGGGCTTTCTAGGATCGCGTTCCTGCTCTTGAAGGCCTATTAGTGAATCCCTGTCTTCTGACCACTCGGGCGTAGTACAGCCGGTCACAAAGCTTTTCAAAGTTAAAGCTCGAATAAACGTGCTGACCTGGAACTATTATTATCTGACCGGATAATTACGCGACTCTCTATTATTACTATAATCATGTTTGACGACGTTGTTCTCCTATTTGTCATAGGACTCTGCGAATATTACAGTTCCAATTGATTGCGTTCACTTTTGTGTCAAATTTCAATCAGTGTTTTGCAAATTACAGCAGTCACCTATTTTTTTCTTCTCTTTTTTTATTATAAAACTTTCTATTTAACACTGATTGGAGGGTCAACGAAAAATATATCGTATAAATTAATCAAAGAAGATGATTACAGATGTATATTTCTTTTTATTTGTAATATTTTCGTATAATTGAAGATGCGAATCGATCTCCCTAAAAGTTGTCAATCACTGCTGCTTCTTCTGACCTCTTTTTCTTCACAGCGACCCCACGCTCCGAGTTTTTCATTTGTTACTCACAGATCGATGATCTTCAAAAGAAAGCCGCCGCAATAATTATTATGGGCATTCTTAGATTCGCAGAGAAGCCATTTCTCTGTTAGGACAAAAAGCGTCTCTGTAGCTCTTGAGGTTGATGACCGAATGGCGACGTAGAGAAGTAATTCAAGGGATGACCAAAGAATGAGAGAAACCTTACCTTCTCTATGGCATCTGTATTTTCGTCACTATTGTCGTTCATTCATCTTTCTCAAAACGTACTTTTTTTATTAATTTCTCTGATTTTCCATTCGAGGCTATTATGCCATCGGCACAATACTAGGAGATGAAATAGTAGAAGTGATCGTCGAGTTATACTACTTATTGCAATGGAGAGAGGACTTTTTCCATTCTTGTAATCTTCACAAAGTTTAACACATGTGTATTCATAAAGACATTCAGCGTAATTTATGGATAAAAATATGGTTCCAGTATTGATATAAAGTAATTTTTCGATATTGTTTTTATATTTAAAAAAATTTTGTTTAATGATTAATATAATTTGTTTCGAGATCAGAGTAAAAATAATTCAGGAAGAATTCTAAGAACTTTTAAGATTTATGTTTTAAATTTAAGATCTTTTAAAATTAAATCCTATAATTATTATGCGACTATTCTGAAAAAAACTATTCATATATCAGTAAATATATTTATATATTAAATTTTCAATCATTAAAATAATAATTATATTATAATATTAAAGTAGTCTGTGTTCATATATTTTTTCTTCTATTGCGACTATATTTATTTTGATTAGAAAACAAATTTTACACATAATGTTTTATTAATTGCGTATTTTTTGTTTGTTGAAGATGGCCCAAAAAAAGGGTCGAAACGTCCAGACATAATTCAGTTTTTTATTGTAATAAATTATAAGTAACGAAATCACATCCTCGTTTTATACTCGTCATAGCTCTTTTTATCAATATTATTATAATATTACTTTTATATTATTAATATATTATTTTATTAATTAGTTTGTGTTTATAGTATTTTTAAAAGAAACGTTGTTGATAGTTGAAATTTAATGTGAGTTCATATTTGCGATGAAAAGCATCGCCGGACATAATTCGCACAAAATACCAGTCAGCGGGAGAGTAGTTGGCGATACTCTTTGGAACAGAAAAATATAATCAACGGTTGCTTGGCTCGGTACAGAGACCGGGAGGTAGAAGAATTTTACCGGCGATTGATTTGTTTGGGCTGTAGAGTGATTATAAAAGCCAACATTTATAATAGACGATTGTTTGTTGGTCAAAGACTCTCTTTTCTGCGATTGTCCAGCGTTCATAAAAAGAGATCCAATTTTTATCGAGTAATTGCGAATAAGCAAGTTTTCTCATTCTCTTAAAAAGAATTTTCCGTAATGAGTTTTATTGTTCAAAAAATAAGCAATAAGAAATAGAATTATGGTGTATATTAATTTTGAAAATTGTCTCCGCGTTACTTGTTGCGAAGATAATTACGAACACAACAAAAAATTTGCTCGAGAAAAACTAAAAGAAAATCAATATTTTACTACATTATATGTCTTAAGATATTTAATAGATAAATGGAAACTGCAACTTATATATATATTTATATATATATATAAGTTGCAGTTTCCATTTATGTATTAAATATTTTAAGACTTAAGACATATATATATATATATATATATATATATTCAATTTTTCTACATTTTCTATATTTTATAAGTTTATTACACTTTCAATAAAATGAAAGAGCTAATAATTGAAAAGTAATATAAAGAAAAAAAATCTCAACCTTTTTAGCTGCCTTTTAAAAAAGATTTATATAATAAACTTATAGAGAGAGAGAGAGAGTAATTAATCATTTGAGAAGAGAAAAACAAAGTGGAGTTATTATTTCAAAACGCAGTATTAAAATCGCACATCTAAGACAGCCGTCATCATACAAAATCACCTGAAACTTATTCGATCTAGCATCTAGGGAAGGTCTAGAAAGTAATTTCCGAACCAATGAAAAAACAACTCTCCGTCGCCCTTTCAGTTCGAAATTACTTCATTTTAACTTCGCTGTGTAAGAGAGAGCAAGTTCGGAGTAACGATATAGGGATTTTCAAGCCGCTACGCCGTGAGAAAAGTGAGCGCAACATCCGGTTGGTCGTCGACGACGGCATGTTTGCGGAGCGGTGTTTATTTTTAGAGGATACTTTTGCGACGTACTTTTGCGAGACACTCGCTCGGCCATAGCGGTCGAGTATCATATCATACGACACTCGACCCTGCTGGCTCTGCTGCGTTAACCAAACCCAACATCCCTGAACCAAATCCAACCCCCGGAACCGCCACCTTCTCCGCCAGCGGGCAAGGGTATACTTTGTTTGCCTTGTGCTCGACCATTACTAACCCCGCTATAGCCGAGAAACCATGTAACGTACAGCGGCGTACGGATGAGCTACAAGCTACTTCCACCGTCGCTGTGGAAATCGTGTATTTGCTTACTGCATTTCGGCCGGTTCCGGTGGCATTGCATCCGGAATGCATCCGCGCGGAAGAACGTGGCATTTTGTTCCTATAGCGAATGCGCATTTCTGAATGAAAAATATCTAACTCTCTAAATATTTCTTCGCGACTGTGTGATAATGATGTATATATCATCTGATTCTGCTCCGTTATTTTAAGATGGGTATAATTTGTGGAAAAAATTGCGTGAATGCGAAATTGTGAGGATGCGAAATTTTCTAGGTTCGTCGTTCTCTTTCTCTCATTTTTTCTTTTTCTGAAAGGATTACTTTTTAATTCCCTAAAAAATAAGTCCATTTTGAAAGCTTGTACAAAAGATTTATCAACATAATAAATATATTTTTAATATTAATTTACATATATAAATAACGGGCTTAATTTGTATTCAAACTAAATTAGTTGAAAAATGCAAGTTTTAATAAAAATATAAATTATTTATTTATCTTTTTCAATACCATAATTTTAATAAATTGGTATAGAATTTTGAAAATAAATGTATGTATATTGTTTCTTTTTTTACATGTAGTATCTGCAATATTATAATCCGCGTCTTTTTATTATCAATTGTCAGGATTTCAAACGGGTGCTCTTATCACACATCTGTTTACAAATTCATAGCATATTACGATTATGAATATTTTCTCTCTTTCGAGAACCCATGAATACGTGAGCCGCTTTTCTATCCCTTATAAAAGAGGACATGACGATAACATCTGGTCATTCCATCAGAAATGTTCGCTTTTATATGAAGTTTAGTCTATTCCTCCAAAACTTTATAATCTCCTACTAAATATCCTCTCTATTAAATATTAATGCACATGTGTGCTATAAAGGTCTTGGCAAAATAAGCAGGAAGAAGTAGAGGAGATTAATGTATAACTAATTAATTATGAATATTCTCCCTCTCTCTTTCTCTTCCAAACACTGTTCATATGCAAATATGGCGTATTCACTGATGAGAGGAAATGCAAAAAATATGTCATCTCGCATATTTTCTTCGCAATGGAAACATAAATTTCAATCAATTAAATAAAAATACAATCTTATATCGTAAAAAAATATTATACAGAAATATGTAATCTGTATAGTGCGATTAAAAAATTATTATATAAATTAATTAATAAATAAGGAAACTATTTTAAGAAAGATAAAAATATTTTAATTTTTAGCCAGATCAAGAAAAAAAGAAAAAATCCTTTTACTATCAATCAATTAGCATTACTGTCAGATATCTGTAATTTGTGTATATCATTTAGATTACGAAAAATTATATATATTTAGACTATAATATTTCAGCTTATCCATTTTAATCACGAAAAACGTCAAGTTGATCTTATCTGTATTTAAACATAATCTTTACTTTAAAACTATTTTATATAACTTACGAAATAAAACAAATATTTCATATATCCAGAATTGTCGTACAGAATTGAAATAAATGTCATTTGTTTTAATCATAAAAATTATTATTTTTATAATTATTATGTACAAATAGTAATTTTGAAAAAAAAGAATTTAAAAACATAATACATTTAAATTTCAATATATAAAATTTTATTCTGGTACAAAGAATTGTTTTAAATCAAAATTAACTTAAAGTTAGCCGTGCGTGCGGTTGTCATAGCATTATCCGAAAATTAAGGTAAGAGAGATCTATGTTTTATTTTTCTATCTGTATAATATTTTTATGTTACTACTAACAAAGGCCATATGTCTAAATATATTATTTGCGACAAATTTTTTGTAGATTTCATTACATTAAAGTAATATTAAAGTTTGTCTCACTCACCGATCGATGCACAGCAACGGAATTAAATTAGTTAGAAGCTCCATCAATCTGTAATATATAAATATGAAACTCAAATTATAACAAAATTCAAAAATTACTATGAATTAAATATAAAATTTATCAAATATATTTAATAAAATATTTTTTTAAATTTCTTTTCTTTTTTTGAATTTGATGGATTATCCTAACAAATGAGAATAAACTTGTGCGCGCAATTAATTAAAAATAATATATAAATACGAACTAATTTACCTTAATGCTGTTTCGCTGTCACTTGATGCGTCTCCTTCTCCTCTCAAGTTGTTCTTCAGAATTCGTCAGACACTCGCGCACTATACTCACTCGCGAAAATGTTAATGACAATCGTCCGCGGCATACTGAAAACTGATGCGCGACACTTTGCACGACACTTCTGAAATAATTAAAATGAAATGAACTGTTCGCGGTACGATGCAAACGGACGCGCAACACTTTGAATGGCATTCCGGAAATTTAAACTGATTAAGATGCAACAAAGCGTTTGCTTTTGGAAATTGGATGCTCGACTTATTTCTTAACGTGCGACTTTAAGCGAATTATGCAATCGAGAATAAATAGATCAGTATCTTTTGATACATTTTAAAGTAAAAAAAAATTTTAAGAAAGATCTCTTAAAAAAGATCGCGAGAAAAACCGTTTAGGTACTTAGCTTTCCCTTCAGGTACTAAGCCCTCCCACCAACGTCAAAGTGTACCCATTGGGAAAGTTATATTTTGTATTTAATAATATGATTATGATATATCTATGTATATGTATATAATTTGGAATTTTTTTTTATAATTGAAAGGTATTATTTAACATCGCGCATCCTTGTTTCTCCTCGATTAAAAGAGATGTTATATACGTATTAAAGTAGATATATTTAAAAAACAAGCAATTAATTAACTTTTTAAATTAAAAATAACTTATATAAGATACATTGTAAAATTATATAATATAAATGCCGAATGTTTGAAATGTTCTCAGTGTATTAGAAATTAATTATGTTACTGGTCGTTCTCTCGAATGATCGCGGTACAAGTTTATATTCGAATATGAGAAATATGTGTATATATGTAAATCATTAAGAAAATAATTATTACTTGTAAATATGTTGCAATGAAACGATCATTTATAATTATTTAACTCTATCTCGTTTTGATTTCTATTTTCTATAAATGAATAAATAGCGCTAATTTAGTTCGGTAAATACTTGTCGTCTTGATACGTTTATATGAACAACATTTACGATTCCTTAATTACGTGAAATTATTAATATAGATCGTTTGCTTTGTAGAGAATAATTGCGTTTTCTCGTGATACTTGTCACTATTGTGTCTCGAAGAATAACACAGTGACACACGGAATAATTCACCTTCTCGCTCGCGTCGCGCCGCGTAAATGGCAAGGTTACATCACTTACGTCGCGCTACGTATACGTATGTCATGTACATATATATGTACACATGCCGTAACACGAAGGCCAAATACCGACAATGACAATCCATTTGTTATATAATAGTTTCGAAATATTCAACATTTTGTAATATAAATTTAGAGTTATAATTTTTTATACGTTGCATTTCAAATTAAATAAAATTTAAAATAAATTATTTCAATTTAATTTAAATTAAGTCAAATTAAATAATTTAGATTAAATTAGCGTTTTATATAATCGCATATAAAATCTAACTTTTTAAAAATATGACTTATTTTTGAATTATATTAAAAACAAGTGTGTTATAACCTTTTTCATGCTTCAAAGATTTCAGGAAATGATATAATTTAATTAACATTTGAGCTGTTAAAATCTGTAATCTGCAATGATAATTATTCAACATATTGCTTACTATAAACTGGAGAAGAGTATATTACAATTTTTACGTTTATAAAAATAATAATATAGTTCATATATTAAAATTAAATATTATAATAAGTTATACAATTACAATAAAATTAAATTTATTAATTATAAGTTTTACATTGCAATATATTTATACTTTTTTAAAATTATTAATTAATCACATTCTATTTATCTTATTATGATTAATTTATTGTACTAAAAGATAACTAAAAAAATAAAATAACTTTATAATAATTTTATTATTTTCCTCTTCTATGCAGTTGGTATAGTATATTTTTAAATCTCAAAATTATTCGCGTTTTTATCGTTTTACATGATTCATTATTATTGTGTCAAGTCTTAAAGATAAGAATATCATAAATTCCAGGAATATTATAGCATTCCATCTTCTCGGCTATCAAATCCATCCAAGGCATTAAATATATGTCTCTGAATCTTGCGCATGTACACAGCACAATCTTCGTGGCCTCTCCGTATGACTCGAATATACACCGAGTGTGTCCTCGAAAATTTACAACCGTTCATCTCACGAGGGACTAATATCTATACAACAGCTAGGCGTCTGGAGATCTTGGAAATGGCGGAACTGAAGCAGGAAGTTAGTGTATCTCGAGTAACATTTTCTCGTCCGGCGTTCCACACACAGATTCCTTTTATTTCGTCCCCTAGTCTCTCTTCTCGAGCACGCCTCTCCTTCGACTTGTGGGGTGGACTCATCCTCTTGACTTTACGACCTACCCTAGATTAGGATTTATTTTAATCCTAAAGAAACGCCGCCGCGTCTTCATGCCGGTTTTCCTTTCCACGATTCGCTTAGAGATCACACTAACTTTATCTAAAGCGTTGGCCGACCATCCTTCTCTACGCACTACTCTAATACATTTTCCCTTCTCGTAAATCAATTGATACTCTCTCGATACTTGATGATCGGATAACTAAAGGAAAGTCAGGAGTATAAAGTTACGACCGAGATTTGTAACAGATCCTCCAGAAAATTGAAATATCGGGTTAATAGAAATAAGATTAATATAAAATTCCATGACAATTTTTCTATGAATTTTACTTTATACCGTAATAAAACACTATATCCATTTTGCAAAGCCATGTAAGTCTGATTAAAATAAATTTTGAACTAGTATTTTAATAAAAAGAAAAGAATTTTAAATGTAATTAAAATTATTCTATTTAAGAATATTATGTCACTGATATGAAAATGATCAATTTGTGTAAACAACGTTTCAACTGGTTTCACACGTACTTCTAAACAAGATCGATGATTCTAGACACAGTTTAAAGCTTAATTAACCGCCTGCCATTATTGAAGCCTACACGTCTACTTATACTACACAACATACTCGTAGTATACGATGTACTACTATTCACCCTTAATCCCACAAGCGTTTGTACACGACCGTATAAGATAAGCTGTAGCATTTCTCAACCCTTTCTAGTGTCTCTTTAACTATCTAGAATATCGTACAAAGTTATATTATATAAATAAAATTTTTCTAATTATATACACATTTATTGGAATTTATCGGAATTGAAATATCTAGAGCGATTCGATTTTTATTCATTCGACGTGTACATTTCTCGCTGCACTAACTTTTGTTTTAGCACCGAGCGAAATTCACAAATAATGAAATAACATGATCTCTTTGAATGCACGTGCCGTGCCCTCTAGTTTATTCTATCCGGACAATCCGACAATACGTTCATTAATTACGTTAAACAAATGTGTGCGGATCTCCGTTGCATATACGCGATTAGTTTCATTTTACATCCTGGCGTTATATTTCACATTCGATATGCGGCGCGGAAAGCCCTCTGACCTATACACATTTACCTGTTTCACTAATAGATTCGTGCAAATACGCTTAGACAGTTTGCAAACGTACGAATAATTTCTATGTGTGTAATAAGTCGGCTAATTATTAGTCAAGTAAGCATTACAACAAATTTATTACGTATAATATAAAATAGAACCTATTAATAAAATTAGTTTATCTAGAGTTTAATATTAAAATAAACATTTTTGTCTCTTTAAAATCAATTTTTGGAATATGTGTAAATGTTTACGTCGCAATTTGAAAAAATAGACGAAAAATATACATTTTCTAAAATATTCTAAATTATATATCGCGTGTGTGGGTGTGTGTATGTGTGTGCGTGTGAATAACGTGTACTCAATAATTCTTTATTAAATTAAATGGTTTTTACAACAAAATATCTGACGCGACGAGAAATACCAAAAATTTATATCAAATAGAGAGGCTCGTTGTACAAAGTTACTAACTACTCCATAAATCTGTACAGGTGCATATTTGTTTCGACAAACGTTGGGATGCACTCCTGTGGTCAGACACATAACTTTTCCATCTACCATCAGTATTTTCACTTTTGTACCGTAACAGAGCGAACTGATTGATCGAGTAGTGCCAAAATACCAGTAATATGAAAAAGTCTACATGATCGATTTATCAAGATTTTAATGGAAAGCTTTCAATAAAAGGGCTAGAAATGCATGGATATAATTGTATCTGTACTATTCATATTTGTCTATTACAATAATTTTTTTTTTGCAAGTTTTTAATTGAAAATTTTATATATTTATAAAATTTTTTTATATTTTGTCGTTTAAATGATAAAAAATAAAAATTCACAATACTATAAAATATCTCAAATTCTCGTAAAATATTTTTGTCAGAATATTACAAGTCAAAAGAATTGTTTCGAATGATAGAAAATACACGCTCTATTATATTCTTTTTATCTTTGCTTTTCATCAAAGTCTCGTTATGCCAACGAGAAAAGCTAAAATTGCATTCGAGATATATGAAATAGTCCATGACATTTCTCTTTCTATTACAGATTTCTTCCTTCTATTTTGTGCATTGCGACTGTACTATCGTTTCGATCATCTTTTAGTGGGAAGTCCTTTAATGGGAAAGAGAACGATGCCGCCGAGCGAGGACGTATCGTCTTCGGATTTCGATTTAGCTACGATGCGCGCGCGATATAAATTTATAATGTCAAGATTGAGAATGGAATAATAAATCCACCCTCTCGACTGAGCGGAGGATGGCCTATATCTGGCAAGCTTCACCAAGATTTCTCTTGGACAAGTCTCGCGATATATTCCTCTTAGCACAAAGAATTTTTCAAGCTACGCTCAGAAGCGTTTATCATGATGATGTGATTCTGTGTGCATTAAAATAATTCAAGAGATTGTATTTCCTGTCAGTTTTGCGCAATTTATTTGTGATATATATATATACATATATAGGTATGCATATAAATTCAGATTTACAGTCATTATTTTTAGATTTTTTAAATAGTAATCTCAGAACCTGTTCACACTAGAGAGTTTGAATTAACATAACAAGATAAGATGATGTCTGATGAAGATGAGACAAATTATCAATATGTCGTACATCTTGTCTGGAAGCTTTATTAATTTATACGGCTACATCTAGTCTTATGTAACATATTGTTTTTTTATTGCCATTGTCATTTTAATTTTTTTATTTTAAATAAAAAATAATATTAAAGCTGTTTACAAAGAATACAAAAAAGTACTTCTTTTCTTTTT